GACAACACACCAACGGTGAAGCCCACAACTACAACAGTGAAGAGCGCCGATCTCCGAATAACGAGTTACCACCTCCAAACTCCTCGCAAGACACTCAACGTCCCGAAAACGACAGCGACGACGACGTCGTCGAAGTTACCAGCTTCCACGACTATGATCGCCTTCACTACGAAAAGACCAACGAAACTGGACTCCGCATCCTTGGGCTCGCAGTTGCTGTTCGCCACGCCTCCCCCAAGGAACCCACCACCGTTCGCCAAGCCCTGTCTGGCCCCGACAGTGAGAAATGGAAGGCAGCCATGGCAGCAAAAGTCGCGGCGCTGAAGATCCGCGGAACGTGGAAGCTGGTCCCACGATCATCAGCGAAGGGGAGGAAGATTCTCAGCGGCAAATGGGTTTTTCGAATAAAAACACTTGCGGATGGCTCCATCGACAAGTACAAAGCAAGATGGGTGGTGCGCGGTTTGGAGCAAACTCACATGGTGGACTTCGACCTCACCTACGCACCTGTCGGAAGACATACCTCGGTGCACAACCTCATCTGCATCGCAGCCGTTAAGCAGCGTCCGCTCCGTCAAATCGACGTCGGCAGTGCATTCCTGTACGCTCCCGTCGACGCCATAATCTTCGTCGAGCAACCACATGCCTTCGAATAAAACGACGGTGCCGTCTGCCTTCTCCAGAAATCCCTCTATGGGATCAAACAGGCGCCTTGCCTGTGGCAGCAGTACCTGCACACTGTCCTCATGGAGCTCGGATTCACTCAGCTGCCGCATGACCTCGGGATGAACCGGAAGGATTCGCGCGGCAAGTTCATTCTCCTCGTCGCCTACGTCGACGACCTACTCTACACCGGCGACGACACGGAGCTGCTGGACCGGTTTGAGGCAGACATCAAAGAGAAGCACGAGGTGACAATCAACCACAACGTGACGCAGTTCCTGGGCCTCAACATTACCCAGTCCGCCACCTTCATTCACCTCTCCGCCGCCAAATACAAAGAAATTTCCCGTCACGCCGATCAACCTCACCACCCTCTTCCGCACTCCTCCTCCTAATCACGAACCTGATACTACGCCCCTCTTCAACGAAGATCATTGGCTCTATCAGCAGCAGCTAGGGTGCCTCCTGTTCGCAGCCGTCACGTGCCGGCCCGATCTCTCCTACGTCGCAAGCCAGCTCGCACAGTACCTGAAGCGACCTGAAGGGGAGAATCTACTGGATCTACGCCGAGCACTACTTCGTCTTGTCAGAATCCCAACCACTAGACCATTGGGATAAAAGGGCTTGTTAAGTAGCGGGTCAGTGCGCCCATAACCCCCCAGGACAACGAGCCTGTAACCCTTCCCTAGGATCAATCGGGGATCACCAGTGGACCTCTGACACCCCCCCGCACTGGGATGCCCGAAGTGCACACACTGGGATTCGAACCCGAGACCTTCGCTCTGATAGCATGTCAGAATCCCAACCACTAGACCATTGGGATAAAAGGGCTTGTTAAGTAGCGGGTCAGTGCGCCCATAACCCCCCAGGACAACGAGCCTGTAACCCTTCCCTAGGATCAATCGGGGATCACCAGTGGACCTCTGACACGTCTCTACCCCTGACGTCGGACTCACCTACGAAGCTAACCTTACCGATACCCTACAGCTTCACGGCTACGTAGACGCAGACCACGCAGGAGATATTGACAACAGACGCTCCCGCACAGGATTCATTTTTCAGCTCCAACCTGCTGGACTCATCTCCTGGAACTCCCAGAAGCAGGAACTCATTGCCCTTTCGTCAGCCGAAGCTGGGTTCATTGCTGCTTGTGCAGCTGTTCGCGAAGGACTGTACCTGATGGAGCTCCTGCAGGAAGCGAAAGTAGCGATGAACGGGCACTTCACGTTAATCTGCGACAATCAGAGCGCGATCAAGATCGCGAAGAAGCCCGGCTTCGTGAACCGCACGAAACACATCGCAGTCCGTTAGTTCTTCGTCAAGGATGAGATCGACAAGGGCAAGGTCAAACTCACGTACTGCCCAACTGGTGACATGGCAGCCGACTTCCTGACGAAGAAACTGTCATGTCAGAAGTTTCAGCACTGCACCGACCTCTGCGGGATCTCGAAGAAATCCCACATGGCTCACCTTCAGGAATGAAGGGGGGTGTTGAAATAACCGAAAGGTTATCATACCATTCCCGAAGGTTTTGTCAGAATAGCAGGCAGAAGTTTAGAAACAGAAAGAGGGGCTTCACTAGTAAGCAGGGCAGTACATATAGCAAATTCGTATTTGGGTTGTACTCACTATGGAGTACCCCACTGCAGACTAGACAATTATAACATTCTGACACACCCCCATAGTCAAAATGGGGTATAATCAGCACAGCAAGCAGTCATAGAGCAGGTTCACAATGACAAGCAAAGCTAGAGGCATTCACAAAGGGCAAGTGAGGAGGAGGAGGCGGGACTGTAAGAGGAGAGGAGATAGGAGGCGACGGCTGAAGCTGCAGACACACAGGCAACAGAAGCGACACTGGCACAGTGGCTACCGGGACAGCGCCCCGGACTACTGGAGTAACTGGCTCTGCGGCTAACTCTGAGCGGCAGGAGCAACGGACCCACGGGCGACTGTCTGCAGCAGGCTACTACTGGGCTACCGGAGCAGCGCCCCGGACTACTGGTGCTGCTGACGACAAGACGGCAGCCTCCGTTCAACCTCCCCCAACTGTCCCACCCCCCTTTCACACACCCCTTGCTGTACCCCTAGCTCCACTCCCACGTCACCCCCCTAGCACTACTCCCTCAGCTCCCACACACCCACCCCCCTCAGCGGCAGCTGCAGCAGTGGGAGACGGAGGAGGAGGAGGAGCAGGGGACGGCGCACACACCCGTCACCCCCAAACCCGCCACCCCCACACTCGCCACCCCTGAACCCTAAAACGGGCAGCACGGGGCAGGAGCGCGGGCAGCAGTGCAGGGGACGGCGCGCGGCCCCCAGGGCGCCGCGACGGGGCAGCGGGGGGTCGAGCGCGGCTCCCTAGGGCGTCGCGACGGGGCAGCGGGGGCCGCGCGCGGCTCCCCAGGGCGCCGTGACGGGATAGCGGGGGCCGCGTGCGGCTCCCCAGGGCACCACGACGGGGCAGCGGGGGGCCGCGAGCGGCTCCCCAGGGCGGCGCGACGGGGCAGCGAGGGCCGCGCGCGGGTTGCGGGGCGACGCGACGGGCTCCAGGGGGGGCGACGCGACCGTCGACGGGGGGGGACGCGCGGGTCCCCGGGGTGACGCGTGAAGCAGGAAGCCGCCACGCGCCTCGGGGCGCACGGCGGGCAGAAAACCGCCGCGCGCCCGGGGCGCGCGGCGGGCAGAAAACCGCCATGCGCCCCGAGCGCGCGGCGGGAAGAAAAAAAAACAGCGTCGCGCGCCACGGGGCGCGCGACAGACAGGAAAGCAGCGGAAGCAGGTAGGCCCACAGGCCAAGAGCGTAACAGCTCAGTTACCATGTCAGAATAGCAGGCAGAAGTTTAGAAACAGAAAGAGGGGCTTCACTAGTAAGCAGGGCAGTACATATAGCAAACCCTAATTTGGGTTGTACTCACTATGGAGTACCCCACTGCAGACTAGACAATTATAACATTCTGGCAGGTTTCTACCGACGCGTCACTCCATAACGGAACAACGCGCAGTACCAGTACCGCAATAGCTCATATAGAGCATGCGGATGATCGAGAGTCACCCGAAGGTCAACAGTCGAAGACAGTCAACGGTCGTGACTCTTGACCGTCCAGTAACCGCACCCGGTAGTTACGCGCTGCAACATGGTAACTGACGAGAAGAGCAATAGTCGTGGTTACTGTAGCAATGCAATACAGTTAATAAGGGAATGTACCCCTCAGGGTACATGGCTAGCTAGTTTGCTATTTATACCCTTGTACGGTACTTCTATCTTATAATCATCATATTTTCTTTAAACATTGTCAACAAGGTCACTACTAAGTCTTCATTGTCTTCTCTTGAACTTAGCAGACTTATTCTGTCCACTTCGATCCTTTGGTTACATCAGCACAGTACATCGAGCGAAGAATATATAGCGACGCTACAGTGGTAACGGTAATGTGGGAAAATGGGGTGCGCTACGGGCCTAGCGCCGAGGTTGGGAATTGTCGAGGCGGAGGTCCGGAGCGCGGGTTACCAACCGAACCGTAAGGTTGGATCGCGTCGTGAACAGTGGCGGGAACAGTGGTCGAGGCGTGTGTCGCGAGTGGTAACGGTGCACTGTTGAGAGTTGTTAGCGAGAACAGTGGTATACGCGCTGAGCAGGGGCGCGAAGTAAGAAATGGAATTTTCCTTACAACAATCCTCTAAATTACGTTGTAAGAACGAGCTTTTTTCTGTGCTACTGTAGAAGTTTGAAAGGTGGGACCAGGTGCTCTGCTATTTCGGCTTGGTTCGGAATGCGATCGCAATTCGCCATTTAGGGAAAATTTATCAAATCAGGTCCCACGTTTATATTCTGGATGTGTTTATATCGCGGAGACTCAGGTCCGTCCAAATCCCGCCAAACCAAATTCGAAATGTGGGCGAGCTTTCATATTGAGCGGGGGAACTTTCAGATTGTCTGACGAGGCGCGTTTTGTCTCGCAAACGCTAGCGCGAAACGCGAAAACAGCACACTACATGCCTGGCGACAGGTTTCCCACCAGAGGTTCCAACAAAAATCAAAAGGTTGCAGTCCAACCTTCCAAGCTGATCTTCAGCCCCTTCCCGCGAAGTGGAGTGGAGACTAGTCGAGCCGTTCCTGGTCAGCATAGAGTGGAAAGCGTGAGAATCAAAGCGTGAGAACAAAGCTCCAGCAAGGGTTACCTAGCCGATTCGTCGTCACAGGAACCTCTTCATTTCGGTGCGGCAAGTGTGTATGAGTAGACACTGTCTCAGTACATCCACAAGAACCTGGCAGGATCGGAACCCTCAATACAGAATTTCCCAGTTTCGTTTGACGGTGCTTTTAGTAATTTACAATGCATTCTATCAGCATCAACGCTTTATCAGACGACCTCCTCGTTAAGATCCTATTGCACTCTCAGCAACCCGCGCCTCGCAAATCCGCAAGCAGCACTTTATGGGCCTCCGTGGAGCCTCGGCCCACGTACACCTCCCAACATCCGTACGGTGACGAGTCGCTTCAGCAGCAGACAGACAGTCCACTAGCGCCTCCTTCGGCTTCCGCAGACGCCGCGTTTACTCTTCTTATCGCGTCCGTCTGCCGCCGATGGCGCCGCCTCGCTCAGCGCCACGTCTCGACGCTCCTGGTGAAGGAGAACTGCGTTGTGTCGCGCCAGGATCTGAAAAACGCCATCCGCTGCTTCCCGAACCTCACCCGCCTGCATCTGTCGGACGGCAGCATCGAAACCATCGACGACGCGCTCCTCGCTCACATCGCCTCGTCGTGTCCGAATCTGAAGGCTCTGCATGTGGGGAACGAGATCGTGCCCATGGACTGGGAGAGGGAGGAAGACCATCCCGTGACCGAAGACGGCTTGGACCATCTCCTGCGTTGCTGCACGCAGCTGCAGCACCTCTCGCTCTACTGCGCGCACGGAGCCGCCAAGCTACCCGATGCGTTCTATCACCTCACAAGGCTGCACACGCTGGGTCTCACCGACTGCTCCGCCCTCGAGTCCGCGGAACTCTCGCGTCTCGCGTCGCTCGCCGCTCTGTCTGTGGACACCAACCCTCAGGACGATCCGACCCCGTGGGGCCTTGCGCATCTCCCGGCGCTTACCACCCTCTCCTGCTGCAACGAAACGCGCCTGTTTATACCGGAGCGGGAGCAGGGCGATGACGCCTTCTCGTTCGCGCAGCTGCGGTTTCTCAAGTCGCTGGAATTCGATGACGTCAGCCCGCGGTTCGACCTCATGTTTCCGCGGGATTCGTCGTGCAGCCGTCTTGAGCGACTGCTTCTCCGCGATTGCAACGGGCTCGAGAGACTTCCGGACGAGATTGGAGGTCTGCTGCCTTGCCTGCGGCAGCTCAGCATCCGAAAATGCGAAAGCCTGTCCGAGTTGCCTCACGGGTTCGCCTCCCTGTCCTGCTTAGAGACCTTGTCCATCTCCCTCTGCAACATTGTCAGCCTGCCCGAAAACTTCGGCGAGCTGCCCGCGCTTAAGTCACTGTCACTGTTCCTCAAGCACCTCACGGATCTATCTGCTTCCTTCTCTCAGCTCACATTTCTGGGAACCCTAAACCTGGGCCGCTGCGAAGAGCTCCGGGAGCTGCCTCCGGGATTCGGAAATCTGACGGCTCTCAGGTCCCTCTGCATCGAAAATGCTCCTCTGCTGGAGCTCCCAGAAGACATCGGACGGCTGGCAAACCTCCGCGTGTTCCACCTGAGCGAGAATCGCGCGCAGAAGCGCTTTCCGCCGTCGTTCACGCGGCTGGCTTCCCTGACCAGCCTGGGCGTGTTCCTGTGCGCAATCGAGGAGCTCCCGGAGGGCCTAGGGCAGCTGTCCTCGCTGACAAGCCTTGTAGTCGCCCAATGCGAAGTATCTGAGCTTCCAGGGGGGATCGGGAAGCTGAGGAACCTGCAGGAGTTGTGCGTCCACTACTGCCCCAAGATCCGGGAAATCCCTGACTGTGTTACTGACCTGGGGAGGCTAGAGCTTCTGAGGATCGATTACTGCAGCGTCTCTTCCGTTCCCACAAGTTTGAGCAGCGTTGGGCGGCTGAGAGAGCTGTCGCTTGGCAAGTTCCCGCAGCTCATGCAAGTATCCAGATCCCTCCCACGCTCCCTCGAGGTTCTCACCCTGGGGACCTACCAACGCCTCACCCCTCACCTACAAATCCCTGCTCTGCCCAGGCTCAAGAAATTGACCCTGAATTGTGTTGGGCTTATCAGTGGGCTGGGCAGTGGCACTGCCTCGTGTGCGATTCTACCCTCTCTGGAGGATCTGGACGTGCATCTGGCAGGGGAAGCAGAGGAGCTCCCGCTATCCCTCGCATTCTGTCCCAGCCTCCGCTCCTTTACGATTCAAAGCGCCGGCTGCATGCAAGAGCTTCCAAATGACATTGGCGCGACAGTGCAGCAGCTGAGGCAGCTGCACATAAAGCACGCTGAAGAGCTGACGGAGCTGCCAGCGTCTATCGCCGAGCTCCGCTCGCTGACATGCATCCAAGTCCATGCTCCCAAACTCTCGTCCCTTCCTGATCACGTAGGTGCCTTATCCAGGTTGCGCAAGCTAGACCTCTCCAACTGCTCTGCTCTCACGCACCTCCCTGCGTCTCTCACTCGGCTCTCCTGCCTGCACAGTCTGAACCTCAGCAGCACCTCTGTCTGCTCCCTGCCTCCCGGCTTGGCACAACTGACGAGGCTCAAGAAGCTTGACTTGGATGGCTGTAGGCAGCTGGAAGGCCTTCCAAAAGATCTGACAGAGCTGAATTGCTTCACTGGTTGGATGTCTCGGGGTGTGACAAAGTGTTGGATGGTCGGGGCAGAATCCGAGGTGTAGATGTGCATGGCATGTACGGGGTATATGTTTCCATGAGTTAGCTTTCTGACAAACTTTGTTTCTTGCTCAAGATTTTAGTTTACATGGCACTAGGCTAGTGTAGTGTAGTGTGCGTAGGTTTGAGATGTGATGTTATTCTCCTTCACCTGCAAAAGATTCAGCAACCAATTTGGCTGGCTACCGTATCATCCTGTTGTTTCCTGAATATAACGCCCTTCAACGTACCTACAAAACAAGATTCACAATACTGTCAGCCATGATATACCGTAAGTAGGCACAGTGGGTTGTTTTAGAGTGCACATCCAGATTCACACATCCAAATTTTCAGTAACCCTGTCTGAAAAATGCAAACAGCTTGTCTTACAATGCTTCCCTCTCATAATGATACCATATTTCAGAATGCATGCCTCAGAATCATGCCTCGGAATAGTGCCTCGGAATAATGCCTCGGAATAATGCCTCGGAATAATGCCTCGAAATAATGCCTCGGAATAATGCCTCAGAATGATGCCTCAAAATGAAGCGTCAGAATGCATGTCTGAGAATGCAGATTTCCGAAAAGGTGTCGCAAAATGCATATCTAAGAAGGCCTTGACCTGGAAGGAGTGATTCCGAAAAAAAAAAACAGGTATAAAAACACTCAAAATAAACTCTGGCCCGTAACCCCAAAAAACCCAGTTGTACAACTCTGCCCCTGCCAATCACCTGTCTCACATGCTAGACAGGCATGAATCAGTTAGGCATGAATCAGCCAGGCATGAATCAGCCAGGCATGATTCAGCCAGGCATGAATCAGCCAGGCATGATTCAGCCAGGCATGAATTAGCAAGGCATGAATCAGTTAGGCATGAATCAGCCAGGCATGAATCAGTCAGGCATGAATCAGCCAGGCATGAATCAGCCAGGCATGAATCAGCCAGGCATGATTCAGCCAGGCATGAATCAGCCAGGCATGATTCAGCCAGGCATGAATTAGCAAGGCATGAATCAGTCAGGCATGAATCAGCCAGGCATGAATCAGCCAGGCATGAATCAGCCAGGCATGAATCAGCCAGGCATGAATTAGCAAGGCATGAATCAGCCATGCATAAATCAGCCAGGCATGAATCAGCCAGGCATGAATCACCCAGGCATGAATTAGCAAGGCATGAATCAGCCAGGCATGAATCAGCCAGGCATGAATCAGCCAGGCATGAATCAGCCAGGCATGAATCAGCTAGGCATGAATCAGCCAGGCATGAATCAGCCAGGCATGAATCACCAAGGCATGAATTAGCAAGGCATGAATCAGCCAGGCACGAATCAGCCAGGCATGAATTAGCAAGGCATGAATCAGCCAGGCATGAATCAGCCAGGCATGAATCAGCCACGCATGAATCAGCCAGGCATGCATTAGCTGTCGAAACAGCAGGCACAAGCTAGAAACAGGAAAGAGGGGTTTTCACTAGCATGCAGTTGAGTACATATAGCAAACCCTAATTCGGGCTGTACTCGCTATAGAGTACCCCACTGCAGGCTACACAAACATCACATTCTGACACACCCCCATAGTCAAAGTGGGGTACAATCAACACAACAAGTAGGCAGAGCAGTAGTTCACAATTATAAGCAAAGCTAGAGGCTATCACAGAGAGCAAGTGAGGAGGAGGAGAAACTGTGGGGGCGAGATGATGCGAGACGACGGCTGAAGCTGCAGACACACGGGCAACAGGAGTGCGCAGAACTGTCGCTACCAGGCTAAACCCGGACTACACGGCGACAGGCGCAGCTGGCTCTCTGTGCTCCCACGAGTGCTCACACTGTGGCTATCGGGCGCAGAGCCCAGGACTACTCAGGCCACAGGGGATCGTGGCTCTCTGGACTACCAGGAGTGCTCACACTGTGGCTACTGGGCGCAGAGCCCCGGACTACTCAGGCCACAGGGGGTCGTGGCTCTCTGGACTTCAAGCGCTGCGGACGACAAGTCGGCTACCTCCGGTCAACCTCCCCCAACTGTCCCACACCCCTTTCACACACTCCCTGCTGAACCACTAGCACCGCTCACACGCCACCCCCCTCGTACCACTCCAACGGCTCCAACACATCCACCCCCCTCAGCGGCAGCTGCAGCAGTGGGAGACGGAGGAGGAGGAGGAGCAGGGGACGGCTCACACACACGGCACCTCCATACTCTCCACCCCCTAACCCTAACACAGGAACGCGGGCAGCAGCGGGGGTGGGGCGCGGTCAGAAGCTCGGGAGACGGCGTGCGGCACAAGGGAAGACGGTACGGGCCGCTCACGGGCCTGGCGCAGGCCGGACAAACCGCGCGCGGGCTGCCCGAGCCGCGCGCGGGCCTGGCGCAGCCCGTACGGGCGGCGCGCGGGCCTGGCGCAGGCCGTACGGGCCGCGCGCGGGCTGTACGGGCCGCGCGCGGGCCTGGCGCAGCCCGTACGAGCCGCGCGCGGGCCTGGCGCAGGCCGTACGGGCCGCGCGCGGGCATGGCGCAGGCCGTACGGGCCGCGCGCGGGCTGAACGGGCCGCGCGCGGGCCTGGCGCAGGTCGCGCGGGCCGCTACGGGCGACGGGGGGCGACGCGCGGATCGACGGGGCAGAAAACCGCCGCGCGCCTCGGGGCGCACGGCGGGCAGAAAACCGCCGCGCGCCCCGAGCGCGCGGCGGGATGAAAAATACGCCGTGCACCCGAGCGCGCGGCAAGCAGAACACATCGCGCGCCCGGGGCGCGCGATAGGCAGGACAGCAGCGGAAGCATTAGGTGGCGGGCCCATCCACAGGATCGACCCAGGAGGGTCGACCTGCTCTGATACCATGTCGAAACAGCAGGCACAAGAAGCTAGAAACAGGAAAGAGGGGTTTTCACTAGCATGCAGTTGAGTACATATAGCAAACCCTAATTCGGGCTGTACTCGCTATAGAGTACCCCACTGCAGGCTACACAAACATCACATTCTGACATTAGCAAAGCATGAATCAGCCAGGCATGAATTATCAAGGCATGAATCAGCCAGGAATGAATCAGCCAGGCATGAATTAGCAAGGCATGAATCAGCCAGGAATGAATCAGCCAGGCATGAATCAGACAGGAATGAATCAGCCAGGCATGATTCAGCCGGGCATGAATCAGCCAGGCATGAATCAGCCAGGCATGAATCATCCAGGCATGAATCAGCCAGGCATGATTCAGCCAGGCATGAATCAGACAGGCAAGAATCAGCCAGGCATGAATCAGCCAGGCATGAATCAGCCAGGCATGAATCAGCCAGGCATGAATCAGCCAGGCATGAATCAGTCAGGCATGAATCAGCAAGGCATGAATCAGCCAGGCATGAATCAGCCAGGCATGAATCAGCCAGGCATGAATTATCAAGGCATGAATCAGGCAGGCATGAATCAGCCAGGCATGAACCAGCCAGGCATGAATCACCCAGGCATGAATTAGCAAGGCATGGATCAGCCAGGCATGAATCAGCGAGGCATGAATCAGCCAGGCATGAATCAGCCAGGCATGAATCAGCCAGGCATGAATCAGCCAGGCATGAATTAGCAAGGCATGAATCAGCCAGGCATGAACCAGCCAGGCATGAATCAGCCAGGCATGAATCAGCCAGGCATGAAACACCCAGGCATGAATCAGCCAGGCATGAATCAGCCAGGCATGATCCAGCCAGGCATGATTCAGCCAGGCATGAATCAGACAGGAATGAATCAGCCAGGCATGATTCAGCAAGGCATGAATCAGCCAGGCATGAATCAGCCAGGCATGAATCAGCCAGGCATGAATCATCCAGGCATGAATCAGCCAGGCATGATTCAGCCAGGCATGAATCAGCCAGGCATGAATCAGCCAGGCATGAATCAGCCAGGCATGAATCAGCCAGGCATGAATTAGCAAGGCATGAATCAGCCAGGCATGAATCAGCCAGGCATGAATCAGCCAGGCATGAATCATCCAGGCATGAAACACCCAGGCATGAATCAGCCAGGCATGAATCAGCCAGGCATGATCCAGCCAGGCATGATTCAGCCAGGCATGAATCAGACAGGAATGAATCAGCCAGGCATGATTCAGCAAGGCATGAATCAGCCAGGCATGAATCATCCAGGCATGATTCAGCCAGGCATGAATTAGCAAGACATGAATCAGCCAGGCATGAATCAGCCCGGCATGAATCAGCCAGGCATGATTCAGCCAGGCATGATTCAGCCAGGCATGATACAGCCAGGCATGAATCAGACAGGCATGAATCAGCCAGGCATGAATCAGCCAGGCATGAATCAGTCAGGCATGAATCAGCCAGGCATGAATCAGCCAGGCATGAATCAGCCAGGCATGATTCAGCCAGGCATGAATTAGCAAGGCATGAATCAGCCAGGCATGAATCAGCCAGGCATGAACCAGCCAGGCATGAATCACCCAGGCATGAATTAGCAAGGCATGGATCAGCCAGGCATGAATCAGCGAGGCATGAATCAGCCAGGCATGAATCAGCCAGGCATGAATCAGCCAGGCATGAATCAGCCAGGCATGAATTAGCAAGGCATGAATTAGCAATGCATGAATCAGCCAGGCATGAATCAGCCAGGCATGAATTAGCAAGGCATGAATCAGCCAGGCATGAATCAGCCAGGCATGAACCAGCCAGGCATGAATCACCCAGGCATGAATTAGCAAGGCATGAATCAGCCAGGCATGAATCAGCCAGGCATGATTCAGCCAGGCATGAATCAGACAGGCATGAATCAGCCAGGCATGAATCAGCCAGGCATGAATCAGCCAGGCATGGATCAGCCAGGCATGATCCAGCCAGGCATGATGCAGCCAGGCATGAATCAGACAGGAATGAATCAGCCAGGCATGATTCAGCCAGGCATGAATCAGCCAGGCATGAATCAGCCAGGCATGAATCAGCCAGGCATGATTCAGCCAGGCATGAATCAGCCAGGCACGATTCAGCCCGGCATGATTCAGCCAGGCATGAATCAGCCAGGCATGAATCAGCCAGGCATGAATCAGCCAGGCATGAATCAGCCGGGCATGAATCAGCCAGGCATGAATTAGCAAGGCATGAATCAACCAGGCATGATTCAGCCAGGCATGAATCAGCCAGGCATGATTCAGCGAGGCATGATTCAGCCAGGCATGAATCAGACAGGCATGAATCAGCCAGGCATGATTCAGCCAGGCATGAATCAGCCAGGCATGAATCAGCCAGGCATGATTCAGCCAGGCATGAATTAGCAAGACATGAATCAGCCAGGCATGAATCAGCCCGGCATGAATCAGCCAGGCATGATTCAGCCAGGCATGATTCAGCCAGGCATGATACAGCCAGGCATGAATCAGACAGGCATGAATCAGCCAGGCATGAATCAGCCAGGCATGAATCAGTCAGGCATGAATCAGCCAGGCATGAATCAACCAGGCATGAATCAGCCAGGCATGAATCAGCCAGGCATGAATTAGCAAGGCATGAATCAGCCAGGCATGAATCAGCCAGGCATGAACCAGCCAGGCATGAATCACCCAGGCATGAATTAGCAAGGCATGGATCAGCCAGGCATGAATCAGCGAGGCATGAATCAGCGAGGCATGAATCAGCCAGGCATGAATCAGCCAGGCATGAATCAGCCAGGCATGAATCACCCAGCCATGAATTAGCAAGGCATGAATTAGCAAGGCATGAATCAGCCAGGCATGAATCAGCCAGGCATGAATTAGCAAGGCATGAATCAGCCAGGCATGAATCAGCCAGGCATGAATCACCCAGGCATGAATCAGCCAGGCATGAATCACCCAGGCATGGATCAGCCAGGCATGAATCAGCGAGGCATGAATCAGCCAGGCATGAATCACCCAGGCATGAATCAGCCAGGCATGAATCAACCAGGCATGAATTAGCAAGGCATGAATCAGCCATGCATGAATCAGCCAGGCATGAATCAGCCAGGCATGAACCAGACAGGCATGAATCAGCCAGGCATGAATCAGGCCTATGAGTGTAACTGCATTCTGTCGGTCAGTACATTCCTAGAACGAACGGGTGGCAACACATCTCAGATATTTCCTCACAACACATGCAGGAATCAACATGTTACCATACTGGATATCACATGCCAGAAACAGCTATGGCAAAAACATTTCTGAGCTGTAGTGCAGGACTACTGCCAATAGGATCAAATCCGCTTTTCCTCACCAACCAACTCTCCTCCAAAAACATCTTTTATTTCTTACTCTGACGGGAGCATCAGTATCATCCATCTCACACTCCATCTCCAGCCCATACATCGTGTAGACGCCACGAGGTTGTACCTTGTCTTCACTACCCAGCAGGTGCCTGCAGTCTTCCACTCCCAAGTAGCGCAGCATCCTCAGCTCACCTCTGTCAAATCCTCCGGCAATGCTTCAAGATCTTCACAGCCATTCAAATTGAGTCGCCTCAATCTAGCCAGTTTAGTGGTTACAAAAGGGAGGGAGAGAATGGAAGTGTATGAAGCATTAAGCTCCCGAAGGCATGTGAGCTGGGTGAGGGAGGCAGGCAGCTGCTGCAGGGCCATGTAACGAGACACGCTCGGCTTGCGCAGCCGAGTCAATGCGCCGATGTCAGCAGGGAGAGACCCTCGGAACCCAGATCAGATGCCTTAATCTCCAACGACGTCAAACACTGCAGCTCACACATACCGGTAGCTGCTGGAAGCTCTCTCAAAGATGAAGCTCCAATCTTGAGTCGGCGCGGCTGTGGCAACGCTGACCCAATGCATTCAGGAAGCCTTGCCAGCTTGGTGCAGTGAGAAACATGAAAGGTTCGGAGGTACGGGAGAAGTGGCAAGGGTGAGGGCAGATCTTGAGCATCAAGTGCCAGTTCCAACTTGAGGTGCTTCAGTGGAGATGCACTCATGCTAGCTGGCAGTCTCCTGAGATGTGCAAGTGAGCACGTTGAAATAGGGAACGGACTGTTTGTGGCTCGGCATGGCTAAAATTTCCAGAGAATGGGGGGAAGAGACGCAGGAGGTATAGTCAGCCCGGTGCAATGAAACACTTCCAGCCGTTTCAGCTGAAGAGAGCTGATTGCAGCCATCAGTCGCCAACACAGTGATGCGTGAGGAGTCTGGGCACTCTGTCAATTTCGGGCACAAGCACAAGTGCAGGCGCTGCAGGTTACATACCATCCCTATTTCCTGAGCAAGCTCCACACTCATATTAGTGGAAAAGGCCCCTACAACTCTATAAACTGTATCGAATACAACCTTTCAAATGAACGGAAATAATGCTCCCTTGGAATTGTGTGATGCCTACCACTCTGCACACTGCCGACAACCTCTGACAAGCAGGGAAGGCGGTACCAAAACTGCCAGTTTCACGTTACAAAACATGCGAGAATCCTCATTGTATGGAAAAAACAGTCATACCATCTACCGTAGTACTCATAATGGCAAGGCATGCTATTGTTACACTGGAACGGCCCTGCAAGGCAAGAAACATCTTCGTGTGTGGAACATACACCTACAATTTTGCACCAAGATTTTACTGTAAGCTTCTATCTATACCGCAGTAGCGGCAGTGCATGCAGGATGGCAGTTGGGGCGAAAGAGAGTAGAATAGAAAGCTCTCCCAGATGGCAGGCAGCGATACATGCCAGCCACAGAGAGATGGTGGCCACGGTGAGTCATTCAAAAGGACAGGCTGTATCGTGAAATAGGGCGGTGGTGCTGGTGGTAGGGCAGAGCTGATGGGATGAAGAGGCAGTCATATCACAACAGGGGGGTAAACCACAATCATGAGAATGCAGAGCAGCTTGCACTCCAGGGAACAGGAAGCAATGTGCAACCTTTCACTTGGGAAACAGGAAGCACTGCTATTATTGGAAACATTTATTCGTACCATGCCTGCCTTAACCGTACGGCCCTTACCTTCCTTGCACTGCCCTGACTCTCCTCACACTGCCCTGACTTTCCTCACACTGCCCTGACTTTCCTCACACTGCGAGGACATCTTTTACCCGCCACAAAATGAGGTCTCAAAGTCGGTTTGCCGGATTAAAGGCACAGCTGTTGGCCGCCAGGTCGTCCATGCCCCACACTTCATGCCATGCCCACTGCCCAGTCCGTCCACTTGCCCACTGCGGAAAGGTGGTTGGGGAGCGGCAAGGCCATGGGCAATGGAATGGATGGCATAGCATTATGGCAATGGGTGATGGCTAATTGTTGATTGGCCATGACGGATGGGCCATACCTGATGGTGCATGGACCATAGATCCCCATTCTGAAGGAGAGCGATAGGGCAGGGAGAGGGGCATGCTGAAGCTCCCCGCCATGATGCACTGGAATAGCTGAGAGGGTGTGTGTGGGTCGCGTGGGCGCACTGAGCTCCCATTCCCCCGCATTAGCAGCAAGCCGAGAGCCAAGTGGAGGGGTGGGCATGAGAGGGAGGAGCGGGAGAGGCACTGACTCAACCACTCCCACAGGAACAAGGAGGGGACTCCATACCTACATAGGTTCGTGGGGCGTGAGGTGTGAGGCGTGGGGCTACTGGCTGTCTGCACTATTCATTCCTGAAGGGAAGGGTGATCGCAGGGATAGTGGATAGGAGGATCACAGTGGCAGAAGAGGCCATTGGGATTGGTGATCAAGAGACGACGACCTGAGGAGGTAAACTGTCTCCACTCAACAGCCTTGCTACTAGTGACGTGACATGCTGGTAATTCATATTAGCCCACGCCCCTCTTACAATGCACTTCCTCCTGCTGCTCGTCAGAGGAAAACCAAAGCCAGCAGGCACACAGAAGCCTCGACCAGCCTCGACCAGCCTTGCTGTACCGCGTGACCCTCTAGTGGCACACAAAGCATCCAACTGGCCTGCCCACCACCCATGAAGCCCACCACTCACCCGGACCTCATCCCCCCTAACCACGGTGCAACCAACAGCTCCGCCCAGTTTCACCTGCAGCCTCCGCCACGCCAGCAGCCTCTGTGTGGTTGGTTGGACCGTGGGCCCACGGGCTAGGGGTGGCAGCCCCCTAGGGGTGGGGCCAGAAGCCGGTGTGGGAGGAGCAGGTGCGGAGCTGGTGGAGGGGGGGGAGGGGGGAGGGGGTGCGGGAGAGGGGGGAGAAGAGGGGAGGAGGGGGTGTTGGAGGGGGAGGAGAGAGGGGGGAAAAGGTAAAGAGCACAGTGGTGATGAGAGGAATGTGCAAGGCAGTGCATACGGGTCCACACCGGGCAGAAGCCGGTGTGGAAGAAGCTTCTTCGGTGTGGTCGGTGCGGAGTGGTGCGGAGCTGGTGGTACGCGGGGTGGAGGGAGGAAGGAAGAGCGTACTGGGCGTTGCATTGAAGGGAAGGTGCGTTGCCGCCTAGGCAAGGATACTCAGCAGGTTGAAGAATGTGCAGGTTCCCCGTCACGCAAACGCAAATGTAAGCGCAAGTTAAGGTGGCGACCTCGGAGTTGGGTTGGGAGCAGTGCAGAGGCTGAGCAGCCCACAGGTTCCCCGTGAAGCGAGCCGTCATGCAGCAGGGGCGGGATCCCATGGGCCAGACGTCGGTGCAGGAGAGGCACGTGCGGTTCCGAGCTGGTGAGGAGATGGGGGGAGGGATGAAGGGAAGTGGGGAGGGGAGAAGAAGGGGCAGCACAAGGGTGAGCGCAGTGCGGCGCCACCGTGGGGTCAGGATCCGTGGCAGGTGCGTGGCAGAGGAGACGCAGGTGCGTGGCAGAGGAGACGCACGTGTGGAACTGGGAGGGGTGGGGAATGGGAGGGTTGGGGAGGAAGAGGGTATGGGGAAGGGAGGGGATAGTGCCTTGCCTTGGCGAGCAGTGCGCCCATTCTGCAAGGGCCGAGTCTGCCTGCTCCATGCCACTCTCACCGCCATTCTGCACCCACTCTCCCAGCTGTGGGGGGGCGAGTGCGGAGCTGGGAGTGAGGGGGAGGCGAGGGAAAGAAGACAAGGGCTGGATGGTAGGGGAGTGGCTTATGAGAGGGATGTGAGAGACAGAACCGTAGGGGGGCGAGCCTGTGGGTTGAGAGTTGGTAAAGGATAAGCAGGCGCGGAGCTAGGGGATGCGGAGGGGGAGAAGGGGGGGGGAGGGTAGGGGGAAGGGGAAAGGAGAGGGGGGTGCCTTTGTAGTGCTTGTGCGGTAGGGGCAGATATCCATTCCTCACCAATACCCACATTGCCGATATCAACCATTCACTTGTCCCCACCACAGCGACTCCTCACCAACTCCTCACAGATTCACAGATTCCCACATTGGCGATATAGATGACGCTGCATCAAGCTACCGAAGCCGTGCCTTGACTTGTCACACCTGGTTGCCACCTGGTCGAAATAAGCAACTGGATTGGAGCCTCTAGACCCCTGCTGCTTGCCATGACGCATCTCCAGAAAGCATCCCGGCCCGGACTTTCACATTAGCAAGCATACCCACATGCTCCATTCACTAACACCCTCCTTCCATTCGTCAAGCCCCCCTCCACAATCTCGCTCGCCCCATCCTACCTCTCATTTTTCACCCTATTCTTCACATACCTCAGGAAGAGGACATTTCAGGCAGTGCCGCAGCTGTCATGGGCCCCATGACATGGGGTACCTTGCATTGCAAGTCACTGGCCAGCCTGTCACGCAACAGTTGACGCAGTCAGCCTGTTGAGGGTCCATCCACACATCCAGAGAGAGGAGAGGGCGGAAGGAATGAGCGAAATCAGGGTGGACGGAACGAGAGGGGGAGGGCGAGCAGGAAGGAGAGGGGGCAGGCGGGACGGAATGAGAGCGAAGGCAAGAAGGGATGAGAGAGGGAGCGCGGGAAGGAAGGAGACACGGGAAGGGCTGTGAGAAGGAGGGCGGGACAGAAGGGGCTGTGGTGCGACGAGAGCAATGCTGGGGTGCAATAATCAGATCAAGGCAGAGGGTGCGGGGACGTGACATTCGCACTGCTGGCGTGAGATGCAAGTCATGGGGGCGTAGGGAAGGAGGGAGAGGGCAGAGGATGTGGGACGCAGGGCAGAAGATGGGAAGCAGGGCAGAAGATGGGAAGCAGGGCAGAGGATGGGGGGAAGCAGGGCAGAGGATGGGGGGAAGCAGGGCAGAGGATGGGGGGAAGCAGGGCAGAGGATGGGGGGAAGCAGGGCAGAGGATGGGGGGAAGCAGGGCAGAGGATGGGGGGAAGCAGGGCAGAGGATGGGGGGAAGCAGGGCAGAGGATGGGGGGAAGCAGGGCAGAGGATGGGGGGAAGCAGGGCAGATGATGGGGGGAAGCAGGGCAGAGGGTGGGGGGAAGCAAGTGGGGGAAGGAGGGGGAGGGGGGAGGAGGGAGTAAATAGGGGAAGAAACGGGAGGGTGACAAGGGTGCGAGATGAGGATGGAGATGGGAGCAGAAGCGAGGGCGAGGAGCAGGTGAAGCGGGGCAACGGGGGGGAACGAGGGCGACGGACATGGCGATGAAAATGGGAGAGGGGAGGGCAACGAGCAAGGGAAGCGATGACGACGAGGGGAACCAAGGCCGACGGGGGGAAGCAAGGCTGACGGGGGGAAGCGAGCGCGATGGGGGGAAGCAAGGGCGACGGGGGAAGCAATGGCAACGGGGGGAGGCGAGGGCGACGGGGGGAAGCAAGGGCGACGAGGGGAAGCAAGGGCGATGGGGCGATGGGCAGGGAATATTTGAGAAACGAGCAGCGTTAGCGCGGGCGACGTGCAGCGGAAACGTGGGCGACGGGCAGGGGAAAGGTGAGCGACAGGAAGAAGCGAGCGAGACGGGGGGAAGCAAGGGCGACGGGGAAGGCAAGGGCGACGGGAGTAAGCGAGGTCGACGGGGGGGGTGATGGGCTGGAAGAATAAGAAATGCTTGCTAGTGTTGCCTTGACTAGTCGTTCGTGAGAACCACATGAATTTCAAAGTCACGCATGCTAGAATCTCAACTACTGCAACATCGGGGATCCCCGTGTCAAAGCACGAAGACTCAACTTGGGCAATGTGCAAGTGCGCGCCGATTCGCTCGACGCGCGGTAAGTCCTTGATCTTCGATACTCTTACCTCCGCATGGTGCGAGCTAGCTGCCTGGTGCGAGCTAGCTAGGGCAATAGAACTAAAGGCTAGTCGACATTAGCAGCGCGGCGGGACACCACACTAGAATCTGCCGAAACAGTCGCGACCCAAAATGCAAACCACAAAGTTGCAAATAACAATTTCCATATTTTGCTCGCGAATCGACTGAACAAAAACGAACTTCGCCTACTCTGTTACTTGCTGCGAAACGTCAGTGATGGTTCCCCCTCTCTACACGACCAAACTCGACCTCCTTAGTTTAGGGAGCCCACTAGTTTTAGGGCAGCTATGGGAGTATCGCAATCCTAGCTTAGCCTGCTAGCAACTTGATCAGAATGACGTCGTTGCAAGAAAGTTACAAGCTACAAAACACGCATTTCAAAAGTTTTATCCACCGAGGGACCCTGTATCGAGGCATCAATTCCCAACTTGGACAAATTTGAATTCGCCTACCCTGGTTCGCTGGATACCGAAACCACCAGTCCCAGTTCGAAGCACTCGTGTTACCGAAGGCCCCGAGCTGACGTGGTGTGCGCTAATTCGGTTACTCAATCTTTGCATTCTTTCCAATCCCCCGACTCGCGTAGCAACCGCGCCTCGATTTCACGCCCGAACATTGAATTTGGCACTAGAATTCGAGTTCTGGTCTCCATATCTCGATCATAAATACCTCCCAACACATGCAACAAATCGTCAAACCTGCTCATTCCTCACTCCTACCATCTGCAGCGGTAGCCCGCCTTACTCAGCTTGTGCGCAGTCTCCCACCAGCATCATGGCTGCTCTCTCCTCCGCCACCGCGCTCTCCGCCGCTTCCGTATTCTTCGGCGCGAACGCGGAGCTCGCGTCGAAGGTTCGCAATGTGGAGTGTCGCGTGACCATGCGCAAGGCCGCCGGCAAGGCTGACAGCCTGAGCCAGTGGTACGGCCCGGACCGCAGCCTCTTCCTCGGCCCGTTCAGCGCGCCGCCTGCGTACCTGAAGGGCGATCCCCGGCGACTACGGGTGGGACACGGCGGGGCTGTCGTCGGACCCCGAGACGTTCGCCAAGAATCGCGAGCTGGAGGTGATTCACTCGCGCTGGGCCATGCTCGGCGCGCTTGGCATCGTGTTCCCCGAGCTGCTGGCGCGCAACGGCGTGCCGCTGCAAGAGGCGGTGTGGATCAAGGCGGGCGCGCAGATCTTCTCCGAGGGCGGGCTCGACTACCTGGGCAACCCCGGGCTCATCCACGCGCAGAGCATCCTCGCCACGCTCGCCGTCCAGGTGCGTTGGTGCGCTCGCCGTCCAGGTGCGTTGGTGCGCTCGCCGTCCAGGTGCGTTCGTGCGCTCGCCGTCCAGGTGCGTTCGTGCGCTCGCTGTCCAGGTGCGTTCGTGCGCTCGCCGTCCAGGTGCGTTCGTGCGCTCGCCGTCCAGGTGCGTTCGTGCGCTCGCCGTCCAGGTGCGTTCGTGCGCTCGCCGTCCAGGTGCGTTCGTGCGCTCGCCGTCCAGGTGCGTTCGTGCGCTTGCCGTCCAGGTGTGTTCGTCGTTCAGTGCTCTCTTACCTTCAAGGGAGTTCCTTCAATGCGCTCGCCGTCCCGATGCGCTCCGTTAGTTTTTAGGCCGTTCCTTTCTCACATTCCTTGCTTTGCCCCCGTCAGTTCCTTCGTGGCCTTTTGGCCTTTCGTTGTCGTTAAACATCGCGATCTGCAAACACGCACGCTGACGCATCTCTGTAACGTGGTAACCCGATGCGTCGTGCTGCAGGTGGTGCTGCTGGGCGCGGTGGAGAGCTACCGCGTGGGCGGTTTGGAGGGGTTCCAGGAGGTGGAGGATCCGATCTATCCGGGCGGCGCGTTCGACCCGCTGGGGCTGGCGGACGATCCCGACGCGGCGGCGGAGCTGAAGGTGAAGAGCTCAAGAACGGCCGCCTCGCGCAGGTGTCGGCGCTGGGCTTCTTCGTGCAGGCCATCGTGACGGGCAAGGGGCCCCTCGAGAACCTCGCGGACCACCTCGCGGACCCCACTGCCAACAACGCGTGGGCGTACGCGCAGAACTTTGTGCCCGGCGCTTAGAGGGGTGGAGAGAGGTTTGATGAGCTTGGAGTAGTTGGAGAAATCTTGGGGATGTCTCGGATTTTGTGAATTTGCACATATGTACAGCCAGGATTTGTGGTAAATGTATATGTATTCTGAGGTTCTTACCATATAACACAACCCCAACTACTGTGGTGAATCTGCCGCAACTTGGTAGCTCTGAAACGCAACTAGGTAGCAAAGCAGGATATGACAGCCCATATGGGACAAGGTGCATCTCTTGATGTGTCTGGCTGACCCTCCTCTTGGCACAAACCTTTGTCCCAGGCATGCAAGGGTGGCTAGGCCATAGTCGGCAAACACGAATTGTGATAGCGCGCCTTTCTAAACTGGCAAACACACGACCCCCCTCATTTCCCAGACTAGGACACACAACTTCTGTTACCGTACGTACCTCCCACACCACATTAAGTTGTTCTCACAAAGTACGGTACCAACCACCTCAGTTCTGCCCACATCCTTGCTAAAGATAGATTTGAGTGTGCAGTGCAGTGCACCATAGTACATAAGCTACATTTGAATTGAGCTCCAAACGAGACATACAAGAGGGGAATGAAGTACAACAGCTGGCGATTCATGCTCATGCCTTCATCCTTTTGCTGATTTCCTTCACCCCCACATCCTCCGTCTCCTCTTCCCCACACACCCAGTCATCCCCACAATGCTCCACCCAGTTGAACCGCGTGCTGTTCTCTTACAAAATCGTCTTGCCAATGAGTCATCTAGCTTGATTTCAACCAAGAACACGCCACTGGCGACAATTGTGCTGCTACCTCCAAGGACTTCGGAGCTACCAATGTCGGTGCTCCAGTGTGTTACAAGCTTCAGTTACCGTACCTACTAAGAGATTCGCCTGTCGACAAGGAACACGTGGAAACTAATTTTATGTCTAATAACGAAGACATTGTTTCACAAGTTCCCAAGGCACTATCTCTTACGGTCACGGAAACTAACACCAATAGTTGCTCCCTGGGTTCCACGCCAGTATCTGCCTCAGCAAACAATGTCAATGGCCATCTTAACAAGTGACAAGGCAAGACAATAGCATTGTTCAATACATCACCAAAGTCCAACGACCATGCTTCACAGGCTATCTTCTTTGGCTACTTAAAGGCGTTCAGTTTCAATGATTCTCCAGCACTTTCCTGGCTGTGGTGGCTTTTTCTGTCAAAATGAACACAAGTGATTGAACTAACAAGATTGGGAGTACAAGTAGGAAACCCTAGAGTAATGTACCCCCTAAAGGCTAACCCACTGTAGCCTACACAGTAGTAACATATATAATGTTTGACACACCCCCATAGGCGAAGTGGAGGAGAGCAAGGGGTCACAAGACCAGTCAAAGCAAAGCAAAGCAAAACAAGCTCAGGGTGGATCTCAAGGATACCACACAAATTCCGAGAACAAGCAAGCGGTCACAAGACCAGTTCACATGCAGTTTGATAATATAACAAGAACTACAGTGATCACAACCTAGCAAGTGTAAGCATGCAGGTATATATATATAGAGATCACAGTACAAGCAGAATCAAGAAGTGAGCAAGTGAGGGACAGTAGGCACAAGGCCTAGAACAGTACAGAAACGCTGATGATCACAAGGCTGAAGCGCCTTGGTGAACACATCAGCAGTGTTGGCCCGAGTGGCCACGTAAGCAAGACGAAGCTGACCACGCTGCTGCAGCTCTCGAGCAAGGAAGTAGCGCAGAGCGATGTGCTTCGTTCTGTGCTCCAGTTTGTGCTCCTGACACAAGGCAATGGAGGCCTTGTTGTCAACGTACAGCACTGGAGGAGAACGAGGCCGCTCTCCCAGGTCGGTCAGCAGGTAGGTGAGCCTGCGTAACTCCTGTGCAGCCATGGCTGTGGCGTAGATCTCAGCCTCACAACTGGAGCTGAGAACTGAAGACGAGCGTGTAGAACGCCAAGAAACTGAACCAGAGCCAAGGCTGAAGGTGTAACCCTGAGACGACCGCTGCGTAGCCTGGTCGTCAGCCCAAGAAACGTCTGAGTGCCCAGTGAGGACAACTCGAGCCCGTCCTCCAAGCACAAGCCCCATGCCCGACGTACTGCACAAGTAGTGCAACACCCTCTTAGCTGCATCCATGTGCTCCTTCCTGTGACGGCCAAGAGTGACATAGCGTGCTAGGATGCTAAGAGGGTAAGCAAGGTCAGGTCGAGTGCAGGTCATCAGGTACATGAGGCAGCCCACAAGCTCTGGATACGGGCCACTCGGCTCTACGGACTCATCCGAAGGCAGAGCTGAGAGCGAGTGACCAGTAGGCAGAGGAGTGGGCTGAGGCGAGGAGTACGTGAAGCGGAAGTGCTGAAGGACCTGCTGCACCATGTGTGACTGAGTCAGGGTGATGGTGCGCTGTGCTCTGTCCCGGGTGATCCGCAAGCCAAGATAGCTTGTCAGTTCACCCAGGTCTGTGCACGTGTGTCTCTTCTGCAGCTCCGACTTCACGTGGGCGAGTGCCTCAGTGTCAGCAGTAGCAAAGACCAAGTCGTCTAGGTACACGAGAACGTAGAACGGCGGCAGAGTGGTGTCGGTGCGTAGAAACAGCGACGGGTCAGCAGTAGAAGGAGCAAACCCAAGAGCAGCAAGAGTAGTCCTCAGTGTGTCGTGCCACTCACGGGGTGCCTGGCGGAGACCGTAGACTGGCCGCCGGAGGCTCCACTGGGTACCAGGAGGGAACGACCCAGTGAAGCCAGGTGGGCGGCGCAGCCAGATCTCCTCGTGCAGGCTGCCCTGTAGGAACGCAGCACTGAAGTCAAGAGAGTGGAGCTCGTAGTCACGCTGAGCGGCGACGTGCAGCAGAACCCGAAGAGTGGTCATCTTCGGGGTCGGGGAGAAGGTCTGGAAGAAGTCAACTCCCTCTCACTGACTGAAGCCTCGTGCAACGTAACGCGCCTTGAAGACAGGCGGAGAACCCGGCGGCCGCTTCACCCTGAAAATCCACATGCCGCTGACGATGTTCGCCCCAGGTGGGGGAACCTCGTCGACGTAGGTGCCTGTGGACTTCCAGGAAGCCATCTCTGCGTCCATGGCTGTCTGCCACTGAGAGGAGTAGGGACCCTCCATCGCCTCTGCGTAAGAGCGTGGGGTCGGGATGTCTGGTGCATCCGGGTCTCCCTCAAGGGAAATAAGCATGGACACGAGATGAGGTACAGCAGCAGCAAAGCACTCAAACTCCTCCTGTCTGTCCTCAAAGACGTCCGTGCCAAGAGCACACTCACCCCCGACGGACGGAGGACAGACAGACTCAGACTCAGCAACAAGGCTAGCGGCGTAGTCTAGACGACAGGCGGCAGCAAAGTCAACAAGCTCAGCGACTAGAGCAGACGCAGCAGAGGACTCAAAGGAAGGGTCAGTGACAGGAGTGGCGAGAAGACGCGTGACAGTAGGACGGGCAGCACGAAGAGAGTCAGACTCCGGGTCAGCAAGAGCAGGAAGGGAGGACGCTGGAGGATGTTATAATCACAATAGGCTTGAATGTGCCTAAAACGAAAGATAGAGAGCACAGACGGATTTCTGCACAGCGGCTTCAAACGTTGATTGCGTTCTGCTCACAGCTGCAAATGACTTGATTCAAATTGGATCTAAAGCGTCTTCACGTCGTCTACAATTAGCAATTTAGATTGCACGATTTGATAAAGAATTGACGACACAGCGTCGGTTTGAACGAACGGTACTATGGCAGCCACTATAGTCTTAGAACACAAGATAGGAAGAGTTACGAGTTGGGAATGACTCCCAGCTCCTACAAACCCCAAGAGCCGAGGTACAGTGATGTGGAACAGTGCCACACTGTCCCCAACCACGAAGGGTCTCGAAACTACCCTTCACTAGGGCCTACACCAAGTGAAATGTTACACTACACAAAGTAATGTAACTATCTTCAATATCTTGAGGTGTACCCTTTTGGCAAGCTTCGAAATCACTTGAGGCTTGACACCAAGGCTTGGGCTCTTCATCACAAGCTCATCCTTGAGTTCTTGATGGGTCTGCTGCACACACCTGCGACACGCCGAACGTTCGACACAGGACAAAATAGAAACCGCGCACGACAAAATAGAAACCGCGCGCGAGACACAAACGACCGCGTAACACGCGTCTAGCGATAACTCGCTATTGACTCGACACACACACTCGACATCATGACTCAACATTCACACACAATTATAAGCATGAGATATATGTTCTCCCATGCCCTCATACCATTCCATACACACACACATTCACGCACACGGACAACAAGCCGAGTGCAAACCGTAGGGTTGCACCAACAAACTCCCCCTCGGATTGTTGGCCTTAGGATATGTTGCTCTCTCAGTTCAGAGCCATCCCAGCCATCTTGCAACACTTCCAATGCTGCTGCTCCACCAGCCTCTTGGTCATCATGTCAGCCGGCTGCCCCGTGGTCTTCACGTAGCGCAACTCAACTTCACCCGCGGTTACCATGCTCCTCGTCCAATGCCACTTCACCCTCATGTGCTTCGTGAGTCCATGCAACACAGGGTTCTTAGCAAGAGCAATGGCACCCTGGCTGTCACAGTACAGTGGGGTAGGTCCTTGCTGCTCCTCCCCCAATTCAGCCAACAAACGCCGCTGCCACACAATCTCCCGTACGGCACGGAAGAGTGCCATGTACTCGGACTCCACCGAGCTCAAAGCTTGGTCAACCTGCTTCTTGCTCTCCCAAGCAGTTGGGCCTCCACCAACACAGCATATGAAGCCTCCCACACTTGTCATGTCCTCTGGTTCTGATGCATATGAAGCATCCGAGTAGGCGGTGAGGAACAAACGCCCGGGTTCAACACCATCCGCGCCCTTTTGGCGCCTTTGTGCCGCCGCCGAGTATTGCAGCCCAACGGTCGGTGTTTGGCCAAGATACTTGGCCACCCTCATTCCAGCTGCTACCTGCTCCTCATTAGGGCATTGCACAACCCTAGCCAGCTGCCCGGTAACAAACGCGACGTCC